AAAAAACCCTAAAAGCTGCTCCTTCTTCTGCACCGGGGATGCTCTGCTGGCTTCCCTAGGCTGCGAGTAACCAGGACCAGGCTCTGCAACGGGGACTGGTGTGAGCCAGAGCCACAGGGCTCAGTGGCAGATGCCCTCCAAGGCATCAGAAGCATCTTGTGACATTTTTTCAGAGGATGAGAAACTCTTGCTTGTGGCCTTCCTTGGGAAAAAAAAAAAATCAGAAAGTTTTCCTTGTGGTGGATAAGCCTGGAACAGCTTCCTTTGAAATGCCATTTTATCTAATTTTGAGTGAGGACCAAGAAAGGAGGAAACCTGGCCATCGATACACCCGCCAAAAGGAATAAATAAAAAACAGCATGGTGATGAAAGACCTGTTGTGTGAAAGCTGCAGCGAAGGCACCGGGCTTTGAACAAAGAGTTGAAAGGCAGCAATCAATGCGGGAGCATTTCATGAACTGTCAAGAGAAAACTTGGGGCTGGAGGGACACCAGGGTGTCCCCAAATCCCTCCTGACTGGGCTTTGGAGATGGAGCATCATGGCTGGGGTGGAGGGGAAGAAAGCAAGCAGAGGGGGCTGTCGCTGTGGTGGTGATGGGGATGCAGGTTGTGGTTAGAAGTGGGGCTCTCGGTGGTTTCTGCTCTGCTGCGGGGTCCAGGAGGCTCTGCCACCATGGGGAAAGGGAGTTAAACAGCCCTGTTGCTGCAAGGCTTTCCTGTTGCTCACAGCCTACACCGTGGCAAGTGATAGCCATCTCCTGCCTGCCAGGCCAAATTCAGCCACAAAGCCAGGAGCAGCGTGCAGTTATGGGGTGCAAGCAGATGCGATTCCTCCTGCTTTATCCAACCACCAGACAATTATTCCCCTACCCTCCGTCCACCCTTTCCTCTCCTCCTCCCTTCCTCCCAGCTCACATGGTGCTGGTTTTCCCCCAGAGCAACAGATCGGTGTAAGTTGGATCTTCATCACTTAAACCCATCAGCCAGGTGACACTGAGCTGGTAACTGATCCCTTCCCTCCACCTCACCAGTGGCTTTGACCCCACGTTGGCCCACTTTGGACTCAGACATGGTCCAGTGCCTCCCACCGACATAGCTGCTGTGGGGCTGTGGCTGAGCCCCAGTCTCCCTGCATGGACACAAAATGCTTCCCAGACTTTGGCCATCCAGAGCCATAAGTGAAAGGAAACACAATTAAGCAGGGAACTGCTGTATCTGGCCAGCTTCAGCAGCTCCGGAGCAGCCGGTAGAGAGGGGTTTGCTGGGAGCTGCAGGCTGTGCAGGGCACTGAATCATCCTAATTAACTGAGAGCAGTTCACAATTTGATTTGTTCATGTAAAAAGCTCTAAATCTTATTGCATTTGCTTGTCTTGCTCTGCGCAGAGTGACACAGGGAGAAGCAGCCAGGAAAATCCACATTCATTTCTCAGCCCGGAAGCAGCAGGAGGTTATGGAGAGCAGGGGCATCTGTAGGTGCATGGTCCAGGCTTGTCCTCGCCTGCCTGGTGTCCACAATGTAGACTCCACCACCTCCTCACTGACACGAGGAGATGGAGATCTGAACTCTACACTTGCTCAAAAGCAAATGCTCCGAGTTTGGGGAAAGACAACTGGAAAGACCTTCTGTGTTGCTCCCTGCACCTGAAATTACTGAGCGAGGAGACATTCACCAAGCCCTCCTCCAGCATCACCAGGCAAGAGAGGGAGAGGAGAACCAGCAGGAATAGGAGTGAGAGAAAACAAGGGGGTGGTCAGACCACAAACACAAGAAAAGCAATGCCGGTCTGACAGCCTGAGCAGAGCTACCACATTGGGAAGATCTGGTCCCTGTTTGCTTTGCAATGAATGCGCAAGCAGCCCTCATCTGCTCCCACACATGCTGAGATGCTTTCCAAGGACTCTGCTTCCCCCACAGTCCATGTGGGATGAAGCAGTGAAAAGGGAAGTGCTTTCAGCATTGATATCACAGCTTGGAGCTTCTCAAGAGGCAGGCTCCTCACCATGCAAGCGCCATCCCACCATCCCCAGCAAGACCTGCCAGGCTGCCCCCAGCTGAGCAGGTCCCCTTGCTGCAAAAGGGCACTGCTCCAAGAGATGGGGAGACCCCCCCAAAATACCTAGGGAACACCAGGATCACCTGACATCACTGAACAGTTCTATATTGGTTGCCCTGTGGAGCCAGGTTGACTCAGATACTCTAAGATAGCACTGGTAGGACTCATCTTGTGGAGGTTTAGGTGCCCAGGGTGCAGTTATCATTGGAGCCAGGTATTTGGAAGGCAACTAGTACTCAGAGCATCACTGGTGATGGCGTATTCCCTCAGACTGTCCCTTTCCCTCCTTTGGGAGAGTCAGGGGACCCAGCAGGACAGGCCCAGGTGGGGATCACCACACTGGGGACAGGCAGCAGTGGGCAAGCCAAGCCCCGTCCCTTGTGCTTTTGGGGGAACAATGGTCTCTTGGCTGCCTGGGAAATGGATGCACAATGGTCTTTTCCTTCCTTCAGCTGGTGTTGGATATCAGCCTGATGTGATTCTTTGGCACGGCTCACTATGGCCAGCTTCACGAGGTAGCAGCCAACACGATGCATGGGAAATTCAAGCCACTGCCCAGCACGGGAGGTCAGTGAATGCGAGAAACAGGGCTCTGCCAGGACTGCTCCCAGGCTCGCCTTCCCCTCCTCCTCCCTTCCCACACCCCCAGCTCCACAGCGAGACAAAGCAATGCAAACCAGCTACAACTCCTACAGAAAGGAAGGGAAAAGGGCAGAACTCTTATTTGAGTTCCTTGCTCTTGGGGGGTGCTTGGCTGCAGCTGCAAACAGAGATTTCGGAGTACCCAGAGAGATGCTGCAAGGGGACAGATGCCCAGAGAAGAGGCTCAGTAATGCAGAGGGGACACAACCAAACACACAGAGCTCAGGTCTCCCTTGGGGATTCTCCAGGTCTAATTGAACCATGAATTTTCATGCAGTGAAAATTCAGAGTCCAATGGGCTCGATGCAATACACTGCAATTTCTCATGATAACACCATACCACGAGCATCATATTCCTGATATCTACTTTGGATGTGAATTAGCTGAGCAGTGCTGACCTTCAGGAGAGTTTGGATTCAAGTCTGTGTTCCCTTTCAAGTTTATAGTCCAGGCTTGCTGCTGCTGAGGAAAGGGTTTTACGCAGAGAGAGATCAGCAGGTCAGGGGCAAGGAGTTACCTCCTCTGCTGTGCTCAGCAGCACTGACAGGTGCCCAGCATTAGACACAGCCCTGCTCTGTTGCAAATACTACTAATGGAAATCCTGGTATCTGCTTGCCTGGCTGGTGAAATGCATGATTCTCCTTCTGTGCATTCATTGTCCAGAGGCATTTGCTGAATTTACAGATATCACTTGTACTCCAGTAGCATCCAGCAATCCCCAATGAGAGCCAGGCTCTGTCTCTCAGGGGGATGCTACAGGGAGACCTTACGGACCTGAGGAACCATGACCCACTCACATAACATCACAGCAGAAGCTGAATCTCCAAAGAGCTGATGGGAGCTGGGGTTAGAGGCTGGGAAGGCTCCAGCCCCCAGACTGCCCAAATCCTCTGCCAGCAAGCAGAGGGGCCGGTGGTCACGCTCACTCATGCCCACCTTGGGCTGTTGCAGAGTTTAACCCGGCAGAGCCAGCTCAGGACTTACCCCGCTAACTTCTGTGCTCAGAGCAATGCAGGCAAGGCAGCGAGGAACACGCACAATGACTTTCCAAGCAAGCAAAGAGCAAATAATAGAGAATTTTCAGTTCTGGAAACAGTCCTCCTAACATTTGCAAAACACCTGGGACACCAGAGTCATTTTTGTGACTAATCAGCTGCTGTTGGAGGTCTCACGAGTACCAAATGAAACAAGAAGTCCCAGCTCAGAAAGTAATTTGGGAAACACTCACCAATCCCATCTGTTGTGAATAAACAAATGGCTCTGCTGTAGTTGCAGGGTCATGAATTACGTCGGAAGAATTTGAGATACCATCTACATAAAGAGCAGAAAGCATGCTGGAGAGAAAAATAAATATCCCTGCACAGAGGATGGGAATAGGGACAGTTATGACCCTGTTGTGAATTACCTGCTGAGTTTCCACCCACCAGCCAAGCCCTGCTAGATATAAACGGGCTCTCAGAGGTGCAGAAATGGTCGATGCCTGCATCCAGCCTGGCTTGGAACCTCCTGTGCTTGTCTCTCCTACAGTGAGGAGCAAAGAACAGGAATCGTGTATACCCTTGGTGCGGTCCCTGGTGTGTTCGGGGAAATGACAGCCACGTGTTCCCTCCTTCCAGCCCCAGCCCCTTGCGTACCCACTGCTGTGGCAGCAGGATGTGCCAGGGTGTGTGTGTCTTCCCTGTCCTTTCACAGGGGACATCTGTGCCTGTGGTTCAGAGCCAGGTACAGCACAGACATGGCTGAGCACACGGTCCCTGTCTGGGAGCATCTCTAAGCTGGCAAGCAGATTTGTTCAGCACTGCTCATGGCAGGCAGGCTATCTAGTGCCAGGGGATGGTCTACAGCCAGCCCGGGGTGTTACCACATGGCAGAGCACTGGGAACAAGCAAAACTGAGATGTGGGTAATCAGAGGTGATGAATGAGGATCCAATCTGCAGCCCACTTTGACTTGCTTTGTGGAAGCAAGGCTTGCATCAGGGGCATCTGGGCAGATTACTCCAGAAATCTGGTGATCTGCTAATTTACCCAGAAGAAAGGTTGAAAAATACTGGTTTAGTTGAAAAGTCTTTGATTTTCTGCTCCCTACCCAAGCTGCCAGCTCTTTGCACGAAGCCAGGAAGCAATACAAAAGAAAACACTGCTCTGTCTTGCTCCGCCAGCTTCTCCCCCAGCCCAGGGAGCTGACCCGCAAGCTTCCAGCAGGCACAGCTCAGCTTTCCAAACCAGGAGTGCCATATGTTCGCGTAGGAGCACGCAAGCACCGAGGAGCAGGAGTGGAAATAGAGGTTTCGGCTCTTACCAGGGTGCCACGCAGCCGTGCACACGCCTGCGTGGGTGGCTCTGCAGATGGCAATGCTGGGCAGCATCAGCCTGAGCTTTTGCATTTCTGCTTCCCAGTGGAAAGCGCTCCCATGCCAATGGGTAGGAAGGAAAAGCAGGATTTTTTCATTATTCCTGGGCTGGATAAAGCAGCTGTGTGGTACTGCAGAGTCTGGGGGCTCTGCATTGGGAGCTGCAGCTGTGGAGGGAGAGGGAAGGGCTCTTGAGCCTTTCCCATGTTACCAAGTTGCAGAAATGATGGCCTGGGCTCAATGGGGGCCCTGAGCATATCCCTGTGGTCCTATTCTGTCTCCTGCATCCTGTGATTGTGTCCCATATGTAAGTAGTGCTCAAGGCCCCATGCCGCACCACTACCCGCAGCTCCCCAGGACCGAGCTAATTTATGAACCGCAGAGGAGCTCAAGGGGATGAAGCTTCTTACCAGGGACTGCAGCTGGAGTGTTATCAGATTACGGGTCAGAAAGCAGAGCACACACCAAGCCCCAGCTCACAGGGATGCCGCTGCGGCAGCTCACACGTGAGCACAAGCCTGAGGACCAAGCCCTGGCATCTGCAGTGGGCATGCAGCCTCTGGGCTCATTAGGGTAAATCCAGACCGTGCACTGAAGAGGGGTCTAGGGCCAGCCTGCCCTGCAGGGACACATCTGCTCCATCACTGTCACTTCAGGCATCGCAGCACTTGCTCTACGAAGGGACAACTCAAAGGACTGCAGCAGGACTCACACCACTGCTGTTCAGCATCCAGGAAAGGCTTTCTCCATCCTTCCTCTCTGACAAGATGCCACCACCAGGATCCAATTCCTCAACAGCTCTTCTGTTACTTAAAAACCAGTTGTGACACCCAGTCACAGGGAGAAGGAGAAATCCCCTCAATTCGCAGTCAGATCTCCAGGAGCTGCCCAGCAGGAAACACAGCCTGGAAAAGCTCCAGCTCCCTGGGCAGGAGGGTGAACACCCAGCAAAGCAGCATCTCACCTCCAACAACACCAGACCTGATCCTGAGCAAGCCCAGCTCTTTTATAAGCTGTTCACAGGTGAAACCTGGAGACATTAGCTGGCCTGGGGAGATTCACGTCACCTGGGAGCAACCTTGGACATGCTGGCTGCTTCTTCGTCCCCATGGCTCAGGCATTTAGGGTTGAGAAGAGGATGTGGTGGCTCTTCAAGTGTCACGGCCATGGCCACGGCCCCAGCAATGTGCGTGGGGAGCCCAGCTCCTCAATGCATAGACACACAGCCACGTGTCACATATATAGGCTGATTTATGGCAGGGTTGAGGGTGTCAGGTGTTGGACCCGTTCCTTGCAAGAGCGGGGATGAGCTGCTCGTTGGGAGTAGAGGCAATCCCCAGCTCACACCTCCCCGTCCGTATCTTAGTGGTGATTTTACACCCTCATCACATTGTCCTTCCACCAGCTCGCCTAAAGGATGTCAAAATTATTATCCTCACTTGGAGAGCGGGAAAGGGGGGTGAGAGGGAGATGAAGTGATGTGACAGAGGCTGGCCAGAGAGTCAGTGTCGAAGGCAGGACTAAACGCCATCTCTCCCAACTCGCAGCCTGGCCTGGGTCTCCGTTAGGGCTGTTGTGTCGTGTGTGTGTGTCCGTGTGTGTCCCCCCCCC